TGTTTAACTCTGTTTCCAGTGTGGTGCTTTTGATAAAACCATCTCTGAGGTTTCACCATGTTGGAGGCATGGCCCTTACCCAAGTCCTCGTTCTTTGCCCTCTTTGTCCTGAGGTTATAGCACAGAAGAGTGACTCTCTGGGATGGAAAGGCTGCCTTCTCATTGCCCTGCCTCTTGCCCCAGGGAACCCTGGTGGTTCTCATCCATGAGTTCCCTGCATGTGGGCCCTTCCCCAAGGAAAAATGAACTCCCCACCCAAGGACAGCCAGGCTCTCCAGTGACTCCTTCTGAACAGCAGCTCCCACTGCTCCCTCATGCTGCAGCATAATGCTTGTCCAGATCTCCTCCAGCCACCCTGGACCGAGCCCTCGGAGTAGCCACTGGACAAATAGGCCTTTCTGGACCCGATGCCCCCAGTGCTCAGGCTTTCCTGGAGAATCCCTCTGTGGCAGAGTTGAGCCAACCAGTGCAACTGGCAAGAGCCCGTTCAGAGCCACCCACGCGTGCCCTGGTAAATGTGGCTTTGCTCTTACCACTGATCAGAGAGCATGGCCTCAGGGTGCTGGTTTCTTCTCTTCTGGCCTCTGCTTTCCCAGCTGATGCCTATGTCCTCACACAACATGTTCAAAGATTGCAGGAGACCCAGATTTGTAAAGGGCAGTGGGATACATAACTATGTTCTGTCAGGACCACAGGCTTTGCATGAGATCGACCTGGATTAAAGATGCAGCCTGGCCATTCTGCCTCATGGGACCAGACCCAGGACAGGGCACACACTCAGTGGATGTTAACCTGGGAGGCAAGAAACTCAGAGATTCGGAGACTTAAACCAGAGGTCTGAAGACTATTGAGGCCCACAGGACTTAAATCAACAAGAGAATCTCTTAACAGTGCAGCTTCTAGAGCAAGAGTGCCAGGGGCCCCATCACACCTCTCCAGGGCCACCACAACCTCATGGGTGAATGGGAAAACATGGAAGAGAGACCTGAGGCAAGCAGGCAGACTCCAGAAGGCTGTGCCGGGGCCCTCAGGAAGCACCTTGGTTCTCATTACCTGACCTGCCACTGGCCCAGCCACCAGGGGGAGGAGCCCCATGTATCCTCCCCTGTCCTCCTGCCTTCATCAGCCTCACCCCCCACCCACCATGGATGCAGGCACTCAAAGTTCTGCCACTGCCCCTCAGAAGATTCTCACTTCAGGCAGGCAGGTGCAGGAGGAGGATCCAGAGGAGATCCAGCTTCAGCACACATCAGACAGGCTCCCCTGAGCTTACAGCCTGGCCTCAGCTACCTGTGCCTGTGCTCCACTATGGAGGCCAGGGTAGTGACCTTACTATATGGCAGGTGTCAGGCCAGGTGCCTTGTACCTTTCCTGACTGAATCCTCTCCCTCCTCAGAGGTCATCACGATTTCGAGATGGAGACTCGGGGGTTGGATGTGTCCACATTTGGCTAATTACAAAATGAAGGCCCCCAAGCTATGCCCTTGTCACTGAGCTAGGCCTGTTTGGCCTGTTTTGATGTTACATAGGATGCCAATCAGTGAAATAATGAGTTTTACAAAAGAGAGTTCTTCAAGAGGTCTCACATTGGCCTCCCTGGGGACAGGATTTGGAGCTCTTTATGGGGGAGGTATGGGGAAAGGTAACTGGAGGTTAGGAAGTACTATAATTGATGGTCTGTGTGTATGTACTCAAGCATGAAAGTCTGTTACCATCCTGACCCACTTGTCAGAGGTCTTATCTACCTCTCAAATTGGTGATTTTTCAAGTCAACTAAAAGCAAGTAACTAAGAGCAGGTCAAGTCTAGAAAAGCAATTAATTAAGAATGGGTAAAGAGGGTAAGTAGGTTAAGTCTAGTAGGTTTGCTCAGGAACTAAGAGCAGGGGTGTTTTTTTAGGATTTCCCTTGGTTTCGTACTTTGTCTCTGCCACCTGCAATGGCTGTGGCCCAGGAGTCATATTTCACACATGAGTATCGAACACCAACTGTGTGTCAGACCCTGGGGCTGTGACAGTGGACAACCCAGCAGTAATCCCACAGGGGAGCTTACCTTCTAGTGAGGGTGGACAGATGGGCACAAGACACATGGATAGACTCAGAACATCAGAACACAGGCTGCACAGGCAATGAAGCCAGGAAAGGAGACGGGAGATTTTAAAGAGTGTGGCCAGAGAAGGCTTCACTGGGAGATGTTTGAGAAAGACCTGAAGGAAGTAAGAGCAGCAGACACAGAGGCATCTGGGAGGAGTAGAACAGGCAATGGGCAGCAAGTGCAAAGCTGATCTAGAAACAGCCAGAGATAGGGCCAGTGTAGCTGGGGATGGAGTGAGGGAAGAGGAAAAGTGAGCTGGCAAAGAGCCAATGTATGGGCCATCTCTCAGCACCTTTGTAGTGTCTGGAATTCCACCAGCTGGAAAACTCATGACTCTCAGAGAGGGACCCTTCAAAATCTCAGCTGATGCTCTAGCAAGGTGTTCAAATCAGAGCCTTGGGAGATCTGTCACATGTGGTAGGAGCTGGGAAAGAGAAAGAGTGATAGAGAGCCAGGAGGGCCTTCCCCAAGTGCCCTGGGTGCACATGCGTGCATACAACACATACACAAGCAGACCAGCTTTCAGAGCCTGCCTGAAATTGCCAGTTGCACCTTTGGGTGAAGCTTTTCTACATCTCTGAGGGCAATGTCACTTTGCCAGGAATGAGTGTGGGTGTGGGCCTCTTACCCCCAGTTCCTGCAGCCTACAGAGGAGGCAGGACCTCAAGAAGCAGTGAGAAGCTCAACTGAGACGTGCAAGCAAGCCCTGTGCAAGGCTGGGCAGATGTGCATGGATCCTCACCTGGAGCTCCAGGTGGATGTGATACCAGCCCAGCACAGAGCATGGAGCCACAGCCTTTTCCAGGGTGGAGGGCTGGCCAGGGGCAGACAGAAGATAAGTATGCAAGGGTGTGGACACACAGGGTAGTCTCATAGACACGTGTGGTCGACTGCTCATGGTGCAAGCTGCCACCTGCCTCCCACAGTTTTCAGGGGCACGGTGAAGGAACACCCCAGACATGCAGGCTCCTTCCCCTCAAACCAGAGAGGTCAAGTTCATATTGTTGGTTAGGTTCACTCTGCATGCCTCCTCTCCTCACATAACATGACCCCAAGATGAGTATCAAGTTGATAGTGCAGTGACAAGCTCCTGACTCCTGGGCTTTGGATCGTCACCTAACGGCCCTGGCTGTCTCGCCACCTGAGCATTTTCTGTACTTGGAGCCACTCATACATGCCAACCAAAGAAGGCTCACATTTCCTCTCCCCTCTGTTCTCACCACAGCCTGACACAGTGGAGGGCACTGTTATTTGCTGAGCTGGCTCCATTCGGAGGCAGCTAGCTGTCTGTGTGCTCTGGAGTGAGTGTGATGATATGCTTGCCTACAGGACACATTTCAGGTCCTGTTATTGTTTGGATCATGTCTGTTTCCCCAAAGCCCATGCATCCTCAGGCTTGATCCCCAGCCCTGGTGCTATTGGCGAGGAGTGAGGTCTTTAATAGGTGGGGCCTAGTGGGAGGTCTTTAAGTTACCGGGGGCATGGCCCAAGAGGGGCTCCAGGACCCTAGTCCCTCAGGTTCCTTCCTCTGTCTTTTGCATCTGAGCCATGAGGGGAGCAGCTTTTCTCTGTGCACTCTTTTCAGGATGTGCTGCCTCTCCACAGGCCCAGAGCAACAGGGCCGATGGATCAAGGACTGAGACCTTGGGAGCCAGAATAATCATTTTCTCTTTATGAGTTAATTATCTAGGTGTCTATTATGAAGACAGAAAGCTGACTATCACAGGTCCTAATACAACCTGGAATCCTAAACATCCCTGAAAACAGGGGATTTGGAAAGGTGTGGAGTAACTGCCCCAAGGCCATAGCAATAGCAAATGGCAGAGCCAGGTCTGTAGTCTGGGTGTCTTCCACATCTGTATGTACCCCAGGCTCACCTGAAGTCAGTTGAGGTCGTCTTTCTCTGTGATCAGTCACACTGTGTGTTTTAGGTTCCTTAATCTTAAGGGGACAAATGACTGCATAGTCAGCACGATTTGCTTCTTCCCATTGCACTCAGTGCACATACAGACACACATGCACAGGCCACATGCACACACACACACACACCCCACATGCACACACAGTGTTGAGGTGACCTAACTGGAGCTTAGGTCTCGCCTGTGCTGCAGACCCTGGGAAGCCCGAGGTCTTGACTCATTCCTGTGTAGGGGTGCACGTGGTACCTTGTCATGAGGAGGGTCTTGGGGAGAGACACCTGCCTCCAATCAGCACCGGCAGGACCCAGAGCTTGGGCTCACAGACAGGCAGCTCACGTGGCTGTGCGAGAACACTATTTCCAAGAGGCCCCTTTCCCTCCCTTATTCAACCTGATGGATGAGGCTCCTCCACCCAGGCTGCCTCTGATAAGGCTGCAGAGGCAACTGAGCCTCTTATCAGGCAGCTACAGGGAGACCTACGAGCCCTGTGCTGGGCAGCTGGTGCTGATAAAGTGAGCGTGGGCCAGCCGGCCAGCCACTCACTTCACTGGCTGCTTTCTCACACCCTTCCCTGGGGCCCAGTGACTAGGAAATAGGGGATGGGAAGACCCAGGAAAGTCCTTTACTTTTTGAACACATGAAGGCAAGGTAGACTTTGGTGGCTACTGGCCACAGGCCTTGATTGAAAATGCATGAGGATAAAGGCTCATGAGAGGACTGGTGAGAGATGGGCACTGGAGGGGCCTCCAATTCCCTGTGGCAGTGGGAGTTTGTGCCTCTCAGAGGGACGTGGGATCTTGTGTCCCTTCTGAGCTTTGTCAGAGTTCCTTGTGAGGCAAGTACCACTGTTTCCATTTTACAATTAAGACACGGGTCTACTGAGGTGTGAGGTGTGGTCAGGGAAGAAGCCAGGTTTGCTGACACCAAAAGCCCAGGCCACCTTCTCTCTCTCTGAGGAGCGCTGACTGTGCATTTATCACCACCCCAGATACACCGTTTGACCACAGTGCACTCTGCCTTTAGAAGTTCACTTAGCTTCGAAGTACCTGTGACTGTTAAACACCGGGCACATCTGGTGAGTTCAAAAGGCTGAACCATCTGTGGAGCTGTCATGCAGTATTGGAATGTACTTACATCAAAACATATTTTGTTGCTTATCTGAAATTCAAATTTAACTTCTGTCCTGGTTTACCCAGAAACCCTAATAGGATGTGGTCTAGACAAGGGTATTTCGGTTTTTGTTTTGTTTTTGTTCTTGTGGGGATTGAACCCCGGACCTTGCACGTAGCTGTACCACTTGAGCTATACCACCAGTCCTAGAAACCTGGTTTTTAATGTCAGTTTGAAAAATATGAGACACACATTCATTTTTAATACTTGAAATCATGTAATTATGAAAGTAATTCAATAACTGGTTACATGGAAATGTAGACTAAGAAGTTATTCATGTCCTCCTGCCTCTCCCACCACACAGACATTGCCCTAATTAAGTTCTAATCACACTCCTATGGGAACCTCAAGCCCTCAGACCCTTGTCTGAGGTCTCCTTGTCAGGTCTGCCTTCCTGAAGCCCAGCCTCATGCCTGAAGCCTTGTCCCTGCCCTACCTCTCCAGGTGGCATCCTGGTTTTCTCTCAGTAGCTTCCAAGTGCTCTTCTAAACTGTGTGTGCCCCTTCTCCCCAAACCTGCACCTACAGCATCTCTACAGAATGTTTTTTTTTTCTGTAATCTCTCACCTGCAGCATCTTCTCCTTGCCTACCTGAGAAGACTCAGCTTCCTTCACCTGGTCTTCAAGACCCTTCATTGCCCATCACTCCCTGGAGCAATTGAATAGTAAAATGTATTAATAATGCTGAACATGGTAGTGATGGCAGAAGAAATGATACAAGGAAAAGGAAAACAAACTTATGACATGTAACTGGATTTAGCCATTCATATTCTTTCCTTTTTTTGTCCTCAAATCTTAGGTTTTGTATTTCTCAAAACAAAATTTAAAAGTAATTATTTCTAAAGTAAGAAATAAAAATTTCATTTTTCAACATGAAATTATCATACCGTGAAAGATACAAGTAATTAAAATCTGTACTCTTTTACACTTTCTGACCTATTAGAGAGCCTATAATCCTGAAGACCAAAGAAATCTAACCCTATACCTGCCTGATAACCTTTAACTCTTTTTCCTCTGTTATTTGGTTTTTGTGAGCAGTCCCCTTGCCTTTACTAAAGAAATTCACACAACTGTCTGAAGAGCAGCTTGCGTGGTGCTGACCCTTCCTCCCCCAAAATGGTGTGGTAAGTCTCAAGCCTGCTTCTGAAGTGCCAAGACCCTGACAAGGAGTGATGAACACAGCACCTGGTCTGTGTTTGCATTGACTGCTCCACACAGGACTGTGTGACTCACCCATACCCACTGGTCACGAGAAGCCAACCCATGGCTGGACTTCAGCTATGTGACCTAAACATTTCTAAAACAAAACTAGCTCTAAATTTGTTGACTTTTCTTTGATTAGTCTCTGGGGTATTTATCACTTTCTATGAAAGCAACATTTAATTTAAATGGCAGTTGATTTGTGCCACAGAATTTCAGCTGACAGGAGGTAGAGTTATGTATGTGTTTATGGCTTCTGTGCTCTTAAAAGATTAATGTTGGGCAAGTAGAAATCACAAGACCTGAGCAGTGGGATGGGAAGATGAAGCAGGAGCTTGCCAGAGTGATGGATTGAGACATGCCATGGAGTGTTTGCATCAGCTAGGAAAAGAGTGGAGGATGGGGGTGCAGGGATGACAGGATCTGGAGGACAGAACAGGGCTGAGTGGGACACTCAGAAGTATTACTGTTCTAGATGAGAAAGGAGCATACCCCGCCATCCCCCATCACAGGAACTGGTCTCTGAGCCTCCAGCCAACCCCACCTTCCACACCACAGTGCAGGCTTATGAGGCCTTGTGAGCATGCATGGACATCCTTGTGCACATGACTGCATGTGCATGTGGAGGAGCCAATTGTAAATCTATGAGGATAATCAGAAGAGTGTTCCTGTGTGGGGCGGTGCCCTGGGAGCCATGCAGGATGCACCCTGTCTATTGCCATCATTGTCCTTCTCTGCATAAGAGAGAGTGCAGACACAGAGGGTGTGTGCACCTGGGACACAGGGAAGCCAGGACTCTTCCCAAATGTCTGTGGCACTAACACCTACTCTCTCTCCCTGTACCACCCATCAGGATGATGCCTTGAAGGACTTGTAAGATAATTTTGTAAAGAGCCACTTGTGGATGTGCATTTATCCTCATCTTTACCCTACCCTGTACAATGTTTCCTGTATTTACACTCACATGCACCTGCCTTCACTGGCATACTTTCCAAACATGAATCTAGAATAAGAGATACATCACAGTAGCACTCACACTGAGCAAAGGCTCATTGCCTGACAAACATAGAGACAGTGCTGCCTAATTGGGGTTTTTGCAGAAAGAAAAGGCTTCATTCCATTCAGCTTGCACGGAGGCCAGGAGCAAAAAAGATACTCAAATCTGACTCTCTAGTCAGTTGGCAGTGGGATACTTGTAAGGAGGGAGAAAGGAGAAGTTGCTTGATGACTGGATGGCAAAGGAGGAGTTTTAGGGTTCTTTTATGTGGGCATAAATGTGCATCATGCCTCTCTACCAGAGCCATACTTCTTTTTGGGGGCAGTTACCGTGTTCAGTGAGGGGGTTTGAACTCGTGACGGCAAAAGGTCATTGACTGGAGGACCTGCTTTCTTCTGCCCATGTCCATTCTTGGAAAGCTGGTTCCAAACCATTCTGGCGACTTGTCCTGAAAGACACTTTAAGCACGTTGTTATTGCTAAAATTTTGTTATGTAAGGAAGTTATGACTGGGTGTGTCCATGCCATAGCCCATTTTTGTATCACAGACAGTAAGACTGATGCAAACCCTATGAAAACTCCTATCTGCCTTCAGCAGCAGCATCTCTTGTGAGCCTGACCACCACCATAGGTTCTCTCCCATAGGTCCAGGGCCTTTCCTGCAGAATTGACAGTTCTCTGGGGGCTCCTCTCAGGTACAAGCAGAATAGAAGCTTTCTAGGGAGAGCAGAAATGGCACCCTGCTTCCAGGCCCGGTGCTTCTCCTTTCTGCCAGGATCCTTCACATGCGGCCTCACCCTTCTCACTCACATATGATGGGTCTGGATGTCTCTGGGTCACACTGTTCTCTGCTTCCCGGATGTTCCTTTTGGGGGAGCCTCGATGTCCTCCTGGACTGTGGGAGCTTAGCCCTCATCCAAGAGGCTCCCCTGGAGACTGAACAGAGACTGCAGCAGTCTCATCCCCTTCCTCCTGACCTCACTGTTCTGCTCACTCCGGACATGGACTCTGCTACTCCTTCCTGTCAGATCCCACGAGAGAAGGAGAAAAACACTCCACACCCTATGTATAGACAGATGAGCCTCCTAGAAACCCAATAGCAAAGCGTAGCTAACTAAATCATCATTATTTACACATGGAGCCTGATCGAGGACATTTAGCCGAGTAATTAGGTACCTAATTATGCTGAAAATGCAATTATATGATTTTTTAAAGCAAATTAAGTCCTCCAGAGAAGTGGTAAAGATTAGTGTGCATGATGCAGCTAGAGAGCAAGGACCTCAGAGGACACAACAGTGTGACTCCAGGCTGCACAGAGGCCTAGTGGTGTGAACTTGGATCACACATGTGAGCACACATGGCTCACATGCACACATGTAAGGGAGTGTTCCTAGGACTCTACAGAGGCCTGCTGCATCCTGAGAACCTGATAAACAACAGCCACTAATGTCACAGGAAGCCCAGTATACATCTGTGGAGTGACTGTTTAGTGCCATAAAGAATGTTAGGGAGGTCGTTTATTCAATGTGAGAAACAGGCTCTAGAACAGGTAATAATGCTGCAGCACTTATCTTGAACCTCTCAGAGGACATTTCATGCATCATTGCTTATTCCCTCACCAGACACGTGGCAGAAGTTATGGCTGGTGTAATGGTCACTGGGACAAAATTCCCAACACTTTCAGCTTAAGGGAGGAAAAGTTTAATTTGTCTCACAGTTTCAGAGGTTTTAGTTAATGCTTGGCTGGCTCCAAGGCAAGAACATAGGGCAGAAGGGCCTGGCAGAGAAAAGCTGCTCACTTCATGGAGGCCAGAGAGTAGAACACACAGCAAGGTGTATGCCCACCAAAGACATGTGCCCAGTGACCCATGTCTAACTGGGTCCCACTTTCTAACCACACACTCATCTAGGATCCTAGGATGGCACCCCATGATCCAGTCCTCCCTCCACGAGTCTCTTGATCCAGTCAAAGTGACAATCAGCAAGAAATACAGTCCTTGTGCTCCAGTAGCAGCTCAAAAATGAGGGCAGATGGATACCTACAAAGCTTTCCTTTTCCTCCTCCTCCTCCTCCTCCTCCTCCTCCTCATCCTTCTCCTCTTCCTTTTTTTGGTGGTACCTGGAAAAGAATCCAAGGTCTTTGCACTGAGCTACATCCCTAATCCTGTTTATTTTGAGATAGGATCTCACTAAATCACTAAATTGCCCAGTCTGGGCTTAAACTTTTGATTTTTTGGCCTCAGGCTCCCAGATTACAGGAATTACAGGCATGCACCACCACATCTGGCTCCTGCAGAGCATTTTAATGGAGATATGAAAACAACCTGTGGACTTAATGCAACTGTAACCTGAGTGTCTATAGTCAACTAGCTAAAACTGGTTTTCATATTTTAAGGGGTTGTAAACAAGCAAACAAAAATGTAAAACAGAGACTATATATACCCTGCAAAGCCTAAACCACTTACTGCATGGCCTTTGGTGAAAAATTTGCCTTGCTGTAGCATGCAGGAGTGCACGAAGGAGCACCCAGCCCTTGTGCAGACGTCAGGGAAGGTGTCTCGGAGGCAGTGACGTTGATCTGAATTGAAGGATGAGCAGAAGTTTGGAAAGAAGCTCTATGTTGGTGCAGAGCTTTCCTTCCAACCAGCCAACACTTACAGAAGAATTAACCAAAGGAGGCAAATTTAGAGAATTCTCCCCTGAAATAAGGGCTGAGAACCCAAGGGTTTCAAAAAGTCTGACAGCACAACTTGGACTCAGCCTTCAGCAGAGTCACAGCTATCCTGTCGCTCATTGTAATGGTGGTGGAGCTTGCAGGGACAGACAGCTTCTCAGGCCACCTGTGGACCACACTTGAGCCAGTGACTTTGGCCCTTGAGTAACCAGAGGGTCCAGGTCAAGAGTTAAGTAATATGGAAGGAAGGAAGCTGAGGGGAAGAACAGAGCACACATACAACTCCAGGAGCATCCAGGCCTGCGGTGAAGACACCTGGATGCCCACACCTGCCCATGCCTCATCCCCAGACCTCTCCTGACATGTTTCTGTGGGTCCCTCACATGGGCACCTGGCTCCTCCTCAGAATACTCTTAACCTCCTCATAGTGGCTGTACCTCTCTCCTGTGCACATCCTGGGCATGAGCTCAGGGTCCCCCTTGCTCCTCTTGACCCTACCTAAGACATGGTTCATCCTTCATCCCTCAAAGTCCCTTCGTTTTAGATAATTTGCACTGTCTACTTCATCCTCAGTGCAGTCATTACATTTCTTTTACACAGATGTGATTTCCATGTACTGTCAACATCCACAGGTGATACATTTCCTTTCTGACCATACCCTCCATTTGACCTCAGCCACATGCTCTTGCCAGAATGTACCAGAATGTCATTACCAGTAACCATGCCACCCCAAAGTCCACATTCCTACTATCTTGCTCTCCTCCAACCTCCACCAATGCCAACTCATGCCTTTCAGTTCCACATCTCCACTCTAGTAACTTCTGAGCCCCATGGACACCTCTAGTCCAATGACCTGTCACCCATCCCACTGAAACACCCTGAAATTTCTTCACCCAACCTCATCTGGCCTAGCTCCCATGGTCCCTCATGTTACCCCTTTATTATGTGTTCTAAACACCTTGGGGGATCAAGAGAGAATCATTGTTCCTAGAAGCCAATACCCACTATTTATTTAAAACTACAGAAGCCAAAGTGTGGGACAAGGTGTTGATGAATGATTTGTTGGATCTTGGAAAATGAAGCAAGAAATGTAGATGAGGATGAAGAGACCAAAGATAAAATGAGTAAAGGCGGGGTATTTAGCTCAGTGGTTTCGCCACCTGCTGCACAAGCATGAAGACCTGAGTTCGATCCCTGGTACCAAAAAAAAAAAAGAAAAGAAAAGAAAATGAGTAAATGGAGAAAGGCAAGTCAGCAGAAGAAACTGAGTTTACACATTTCAGTGTAAGGTTTCTTCTCATAATCCTGAAATCAAAGGGAAACTAGGCCTCTTCTGGTCAGAGGATTCTTAAGGGAAAGGAACGTTCCAGAGTCTTAGGGAGGTGGGAGGTACTCAGAGCTGGGATTTCTGAGTAGACACCAATGAAGTCTCAAAGAGCTCCAAAGAAGTACAAATGGTTGGCCTGCGGTTCTGTGATTCCTAATACCCATCAGTGAGAGGCTGAGCTGACCTGTTAATCCACTTGAGGACTTTAGAACTTAAGCTGCTGCTCAAATTCTTCAGTCCACAACCACAGCCCAGGGAAAGTTTGAGAGAACCAGTGGTCACTGAACACAGCAGCTCTTTTCCACATTGTGCATTTCTTTATTAGAAATGAAAATGTCTACTTGAAACATCTTTCGTGTTTAGGCAAAGGGCATAAATGTAAGACACAAAGGATCATCAGAGAGGGTGCCCAAGGTCCTGCCATCCAACAATAGCCTAACTTTGGTTTGTGGGAGACAATGAACGGGATGAGGGTACCCAGTGGTAGCATGGAAAGAGGCAGGAAGGTCAGAGCAGGTGGAAGGAACCTTCACAGACCTTCGGGTCTGAGGCTTTGAAGATTCTGTGAGACAATGGTCAATTCTGAAGATTCATCTCCATTTCTTAAAGGACATGGTTATTGTAGATGGCTCAGAAAGTACCAAAAACTATATATTAGAAGAAAACAAAACCACTTATACCCTATCCACCATCTGAAAGCCAACATTTTAAGTATGCTTCCTTTCATTCCTTCAGCTAAGACTCTTGGGGAATATTTAGCATCATTTCTACTTACAAGGATCTGTCCCCATCACTTAATGTCATACCACAAGCATTTCCTACTGTCACTAAGAATTTACACGTCACATTTAAAACTGCATAATATTCATATCATAATTTACACAACCAGTTCCCTAATGTGGACCATTTTAACTATTCTCTCTCTTATTTTCCATTTTAAACCACATTGAAATATGCTTTCTGGAGGGTTGATTTCTGTTCCATTCCCAGTTATTTATGTAGGATAACCACTAGAAGTGTATTGTTTGATTCTTAGGGTGATACATTTGCCAAATAGTCTACAATGGTACTGAAGATGTCTATTTTTGAGAGCACAACTTTGACCAAGATTATGCCAACATAATTGGCAATGATAATTACTAATATCTAAGTGGTCTACCTATGCCATGCACTGCATTAGGTTCTTGGCACATACTAATTCACAGTGAGTCTACACAGTAGTGCTGTCATGTTTTACATTTGAAGAAACTGATGCCAGAAAGACTGCATATTTCCCCAATGTGGTAAAAACAAGTGTGTCACAGCTGAGCCACCACTCATTCCACTGTCTGTTCCATGTCTGGCAAGTGTGCTGACCTCACAGGGGAGTACCAACTGCCTTCCTGCATATCTTCACTCTGGTCAAGGAGTTGTCTGGATGGAGCTGCAAGTAGCTGTATCCACAGCTTCCTGTGCTCCAGACAGTGTGGTTGAGTTTGGAGCTGAGAAGCCAAACATATGCTGACTGGGATGTATAATCCCCTCCTCTCCCTCAAAATATTTGAAGATACATATCTCCTTTGCAATTTGATTGCCCCAAATACATTCTTTTGGAAAAATATTTCCTCACTTATCATCAGACCCCACCTATCCTTAAATTAACCAAGAGTGGTAATTTTCCTTTCCATTGCTCTCTTTGTGATCAGCTGACACACAAGAGGACACCAGGAGTGGGCAGCTGAGGGGCTGATTTATTTCCAAACAATAAGGCTGAGGAGTCTGAAATCTCACAAGTCATTTATCAAAAGGGTATGTGCATTTACCAAAGCATGGCACAAGGATGCCTTGTCATGGTGCCCAGCACCAGTCATGGGCAGGCAAGGGAATAGGTAGAGGTGACAGATTATCAGTTTTCAACTGTGATAGGTCTCTAGCTACATCCGCTTGCTATTGGAAGAAAGGAGACACTAGCTCAGAGTTGTGGCTAAGGCAGCTTTGATTATAACTTATTTGCATGAATAAAGGGTATTAGCTGTGTCTTAGTTACTTCCCTTTTGCTGGAACAAAATACCTGACACCCACAAGTTAAAGGAAGAAAGGTTTACTTTAGCTCACAGTTTATAGAGGTTTCAGCCCATAGTCAGTTGGCTCCAAGGCAAGGAGACATGGTAGAGGGGCATCACAGAGGAGAAACAGTCCAAGGCAGGGTAAGCACAAAAAAACAGCAGTGGCGGCAGCAGCACTAAGCCCCCTTCTCCTTTTTATTCCATTCAGGATACAAGCCTATGGTTGGTGCCACTCAGAAGACTCAGGGTGAGTCTTCTGTCTTCAGTAAGTCCCTACAGCCACATTCAGAACTATGCTAATCCAGTCAGTCTACTCTCACCCTCTTGCAAAGGAGTGGAGTATAATGGTTGGCATTTGAACTGAATTATGTGGTCAATAACTTTCACAGTCATGAGCTCAGTGATTCTCAAAGTGAGGCTCCTGGACCACCAGCATCTGCAGCACTCGAAAACATGTTAGAAATGCAAGTTATTAGTCCTACTCCTGACATGATGACTGCTCAGAATGCCAGATTGCAGGAGGAGGTAGTGATCTGTGGCCTAACAAGTCCCCCAGACAGTTCTGATACTCAAGTTTGTGCACCAGTGTTTTAGCTTGTCAGCCCCACAATAACCTTATGAGGCAAGAGGAGGAAAGGAGACTCCAGTTGTCATCCTAGCTCAAGGTGGGAAAGGTAGGATAAGAGGCCATTTGAGAAGGAGACTCAGACTCCTATGAGTATTTAATTCCTTTCCTTCTTTGGATCTTGTGGTTTATGCTAAATAGATGGTGCATACATTAATTTGTTCCCTTGTTATGCATCATCCAAAATATTCTCACTGAGTGCTGCCACATTCTCAGTTTCTCATTGGCTCCTCCAAAAGAAATAGGAAATGTGTTCTTTCCCTCAAGGACACCCATATACTCATTCTATCAGGTGTGCCATGTACATCTACCCAGAGAACTGTCATTCTTTACCCTAAAGGTCAGAGGTCAATGGTGTGAGAGGTACCTGGTTCACACTCAACAGAATGGAGGTCCATGTTCCACCAGCTTGGACGCTGTCACCATTAGCTCCACCTGTAGAGATCAGGCAAAAAGACTCTAAGCCAAAAACCACCAAAGTCGTCATGATGAGGTATCTGCCCTTGTGGAGAAATGCCAAAGCAAGTATAACAGAGTTCAGAGGAAAGTCCAGTGAGTTCTGAGAAGGAGAGAAATCCCCTTTGGTAGACGTAACACCAACTGCTGGGGCCTACTGGGACTGTGTCCAGAAGTAGGGTTCTCTGGACTGTGGAGGCTGTGTCACTATCAGGTGTCATCTCCTGCTTCTCTCTTGCTTTCAGCTTCCATTCCTCCTAAGGATTTTGTTCTCCTTTCACTGTGTTGATCAGTCAGCTTGATAAAAAGACAGGTGCAAATTAGAAGTAGCTTGGTCTCCTTTTCCATGTGCTAAAGCCACATTGATTTCTTCAAGGGTAGATTTTTCTCCTCTTACTAGGAAGCATGGAATGAACAATTTCCCTTTGAGTGGTCTCTGCATTGTGTTTAGACTGCACTTCTTCAGCTGCCAGCTGCTCCCAGTTCATACTCCCCAGCCTAAGCGGCTTCCCAGCCAACGTGGTCTCCTCAGGAGCCAGACACAAGAGCCTGACCAGAGTCTTCTCCTCCTCCCTTCCTGTCTCTTATAACTTTGACTTTTCTACAAACCTTAGGCAGGATGTGTCTGCTGGGGGCAGGAGCGTGGGGGATCAGGGGAATAATGATCCCTTTTCCTTCACTCCATCTCACGAATATAGAAGGGTATTTGCAGCTTTCTTGATAAACTGCAAACACCACACAACTCGAAGATGACAGGGTCTTCTCCCTGAAGAATTCCTGTGTGACTAATGATGACTTCATCCTGCTCAGCTAAATCACCTTTCTTGCTGATTGCTCCTGCTGTCACCATCCTCAAATTAGGATTCCATTTTTATTCTCTGATTCTAGAATAGAGATGAGATATTCCACCTTTTAACTTGGCCTCTATAGTTCAACCAAAGCAGATTGGCCATGGTTTTGCTTTTTTAAAAAAGGCTCTATTAATTTAAAAAATGCTCAAGGATAATAGCAGAGGAAGGCATGTAGAGCAGAACTTGGAAACAGATACTCTGAGCTGTGTGTTATGCCATCTTCCCCTATTTTACAGCCCCACTCCTGGGAACAGTCATCAAGGCAAATGCCTACATGTGAAAAAATGTCTGAGTGAGACTCCAAGGTGCACACAGGACAGAGATGCCCCTTCCTGACTCAGCTTCCTGACTGCTGAGTCCATTTGGTGATGCAGGAATGACCATCTCTTCCAGGGCGCAGAGGCCACTTCTGGCCACCCAGCCCGGAGGCCCCACCACAATGCTGAAATTCAATGTGGAAGGTGTGGTGCAGCCTACAGGGATTCTAATACCAACCCCTATGTTATGTTTCTGCACAGTGGCAGCAGCAGGTGAGACAGGATAGTGGTTAAGAGAAGGAACATAGTCAGATCATTTTATAGGCTGTCATAGCTGTATAACTACATTGCATCACACTTTGGTGGCCCTGGGATTAGGAAGATTGTTTACAAGGTGACCCAGTGGGAATTATGGAGCCATCATTTTGGCCTTGAGACTGGCATGTTCTGACACAGGTGGTCAAGTTGACACAGGTGTCACTTGTAGATTCCGTCCACACACCCTGGGTAGGACTTGGGCACTTTCTGCAGGTAGGGAGTAGGCAGGTGACGCCCTCACATGCAGCAGCTGCTTGGGCTCAGCCTCGCACAGATAGTGACCTTCCATCACAGCAGTTGGAGAGACACCATCCTGCCCCACCCTACTTGCTAACTGCTCCACAATCCACAGTCATTTCCTCCACATCTCTGTCTTGCCACTATTCTTTTCCCTCTGCTGGCACTGCCACCCACCATTTCAGTAGACGAGGCTGGGGATCACCTCCTCCTGAAGCCTTTGCTGGGGTCATCAGAGAATGACCCTTGATGAGCTTACCCACAGATGCACTTGGTCCCCTTGGTTACAGTGATCTCCCAGGACAGGAGCACTGCTCTAACATGAAGCATGTTGCTGGAACATACTAAGTGCTAGAAAAGGTTTGCTGAAGGCAAAAATGAACACACAACATCATGAACTTTCTCCAGTCTTAGAACCCAGGAGGCCTAGAGCTGAGACATGCTTGATGCCCCTCCAAGATGCTCCTAGGTACCCAGTTAACATCTAACTGCACACTTTGTCACATAGAGAAGTGGAGGAGTCTAACTTTTCACATCAATGTGCCACAGCTCTGCAACCAGCTCCTCGGAACAGAGACCATTGTCCTCTCTTCTTCAGCCTGTGGTTGGGTGGGTAAATATGAAGAGCTCAGCTAACAGTTCCTGGCTTCTGGGAGAAATGGGTGGATGGGGGATGAGCTATTCACTTGCTCCTTTGGGGCACTCTGGTCTATTAGAGACTCAAAGCCTGAATGCTACATTCTTTCAGGAACAATAACAGCAAATCCTCAAGGAAAAATAAATGTATTTGACCTTTCCAGCCAAAAGGAAAAGTTGGTTAATGAACTTCAACTGTTAGCTTTCGACCTCACTTGCACAGGGGCACTGAGGAAACAAGAACAAGAAGAAAAAAACCCAGTGTAAGTCGAGGAGAACTCTCTATGTTCTCAAAGGGCACCCCGCTCTCAAACCCCAAATCAGACTCGCCAGAACTCTCACTGCCTCTGAGCACATAGTACAGGGACTTTTCTAATTGAGTCTTACCAAAAGGAACTGTTGCAGAGACTAAGTAAGTTAAAGTGTCTTAAAAGCTGAGAACACTGCCTCCTATATGGTAAGCAATTACTAATTGTTCTGAAGGAAGAAGAAGTGGGCTGGCTGCACTGGACGAACTGATTTAAGAAATACTAGTCTCCACCTAGAAAACTCTTTGGAAATTCTGGGTATTGGAGCTTCTGTAACCATCCTTAAGTGAGGTGTCTTTCTTACTGACCTGTAAGGTGTCTGGTGATTAAGAAAGGCCAAGAATTCCAGCCCCTAAATCCACATGTTCATGTGCCTGTGCATTTTTCATGTCTTCAGTGAATATCTGAATACTTGCTAGGTACTCAGTCATAGGTACTGAGTCATGTACTAGGTTCTCAGTCACAGACTGCACTTCCCATAGTATGCAGTAGAATCCAATATCGGTGTGAGCTTGATGCTTCAGGTCTTAAACATTCCTCCTCCCTGCCTGCCTCTGGGCATGTCCACTCTTTCTCGTTGCTGACTTAATAACAGGTTTCATCCTCCTCCCTACCTTTGGGCTCCTTGCCGGTCCCAGACCTCCTGGCCTGGCTCTTCTGCTACCCTGTTCTGGGCCTGCAGCCTGGAGAATGTTTCTCCCTCACCCACTGTGCCTCCTGACACTCACAGCCAGCTCCTTACCAGGCAGCTTCCTTGGGGAGAATGATCTCATAGCACTATAATTACAATGATCCTCTGAGTGGAAATGCCTATTAGGAAGCACACTTCCCTTTTTAATGTGCATATCTGCTGTAATAGGAACATTGTTTTTCCATGTTAACACTGATATTTCTGTGGTCTAATAAATCTTTCTTCTCACTCATTTCCCAAAGGAGAAGAGACATTCTGTGCAGCAGCTTCAGGTTCCCACTATCCTTACGATCTTTGCCCACCAGTCTGGTCACTGGGCTGCAGAGTTGCACTCTCAGTAACTCAGATAGTCACAGAGCCACCAGTCCCCCAGGAGAATCGATTCAAAGACTTAGGGAGGGTTGTCAGGGAGGGGTTTTTCAAGAGGGAAAGTACACCCCAAATGTAAGAGTGATGGGAAAGTCCCCACCCGCCTCTGGATGAGCTGTGTGACCACAGGCTCATCACATCTCTCAGACTTAGTGTTCTAGCTATAAAATGGACTTATAATACCAGGTACCGCACAGGATTGCTGGGTGGACCACAGGAGAGTGTAGACCAAAGGCAGCTAAAGCAACACCTGACAAGAACACACACTTCACAGATGGCCTGTGTTAAATCCAGCCATGCACACTTCGTTCACACTGCAGATACCTGTTAGGCATGCACCAGGTGTGGGTCCCCGTCTCAGTGCTCAGATTCAGCAGAGACCCCACAGTCCTGAGTTAACTGGTGATTCTCAGGGTTCTTGGGGTTTTCCAGCCTGGTCAGCAGCCAAGCTGAGCCTGGGTCATGTCTATACACCTGGGCAAGGGTCTGTGCAGATACTGTGTCATGCCTGTCTACCTGGGCCATTTGCAGAGCTGCTTATAGGTGTGCAGAGGGTGCAGGCTCAGGCCATTGTTATCAGGTGTAGAGAGGCTTCCTGTACCCTCAGGCTCCTCTCTTCTTTCTGCAGCACTCTACACCACGCCAGCACCTGACCCAGGGATACCCGATGCCATCATACCAGTGCCTGACTCAGGGACACCCTTCCCCACAACGATGGACATCGCCATTATTGCAGGTGAGCCAGCATGACAGGCTCTTCTGGCAGCTGGGGGAAGTCCCAGGGGAGAACTGGCCTGAGGATCCCACGGTCACCTCCTTCTTTATTGGAGGCTTTGATTGTGGAATGGAAGAGTCCAGTCCTCATCAGAAATGTTCAGCATGGTACCCGCCCAGGCCAAGAGAGCCCTCAACAGGCATGTCAGGAAGCACCCTCCCTCCTACCCCATCAACCCACAAGGCACTCAGGCTGCAGAGAGTAGCTCAGGTCAAACACATGTGGTGGTGGTGGTGCATGGGTGCATGGATTGACCGGGGCTCCCTGCACTCTCCCTCATCTCCCTCGTCCATGCCCTGAGTCTCACATTTCCATCCTAAAGAGAATATGACCCCTCCCTTGCCTTGTGCTGAACCCTGGACAGGTAGTTCCCATGTGCTCACAGCTGTGTCCCCAAACTGCACTCCAGAACAATCTAGTTTGGAAGCTGTCTCTTGCTCTGTTCCCTCATTTGAGATTCATAATTCTCTCTAGCTTATTAATAGCTCAGGGAACTTCTACAACTAAAAGAAAAAGGGAGAGACAGCAGGAAGCCATCAAAGACACCTGTTCAATTTTATTTAACCCTGCATTTCTCCCCCTCATTTGCTCCTGAGCCTTTGCTTCTTAGATACTATTATTAACATTGTACAACACTAGTTTCCCTCAGAAGGCAGAAGGAAGTATAGGAAATTGTTCCATAAAAGTGGGACTTGGGAGCAGTTATAGCTTCACCATGTTCCCCGGGAATATTTCCCCAAAGCCCCCTGAATAAACCTGATCCAAGTAATGACAGAGGCTTATTCTGCAGCTTCAGAGAAAATGGCCAAAGCCAACGCCACCACGAGCCTGGTGCCCTTCAGCCTTCCCTGAACTTGCCCAGTCTTGACACCTGGTTGGCTCCCCAGGCCTTGAGTGGCCTGACCGTAACTGGCCTGCCTCTTGGCATGGTGTCTCTGTAAGGCCAAGTCCACTCCTTCTGCCAGACTCAGGAATCTTCATTCCCCAGGAGTGAATGCAACAGGCTGGGTGAGGGGCGGCTCTCAAACCATACCTCCCACCCCTCACCCAGGCACTGTCATCAACCCTCATCATTTCCTCCTTCTGTAGAGCACCCAGAGTGCAACCATCTCTTCTCAGTTTGCTGGGACTTTCCTGCTTTTGCACAGAAAGCCCCATGTCCCAGGAAACACCCAGTTGGGATCATCTGAAGAAATGAAAATTCGGCATCCCAGGAGCTCCTCAGTTCAAGCTAACCCCACATATCCTCACCATGCCAACTGCATGTTCCACAAGGGGCCTCCTACAGATCTGTCTTCCTCAGTAGACATGAGCACATCCCAGCGGGGACCAGCCCTGGGCTTCTGTTCTAGCCAGTAGGGTGCAGATGGGGGGCAGGTAGGGAAAAAGGAGGAGGATGGAAAAGGAGAGGAGAAAAGATCATTGAGATGACAAGAGGAAGAAGCACAAGGTAGGAAGCAGAAGCCACCCCTGGGTTGGTGCTACTTACAGCAGCATGTTTGTCCTCCTGATACAACCCCTGTGGGTTCTGAACCCCTTCCCAGGCCCCAAGTCACCTGCTCCAGACTGACCTCTGAATGTCTTCCTTCCCGCAGCTGTGATCACTGCTGTGGCCCTCGTTCTGCTCTGCCTTCTCCTTGTCGTGCTCCGATACCTGTTCCGGCACAAGGGCACATACCACACCAATGAAGCCAAGGGCACAGAGTTTGCTGAGAGTGCTGACATGGCCCTGCAGAGTGACCCTGCCCTCCAGGATGCTGGTGACCACAGCAAAAAGGAGTACTTTATCTGAGGGACACCAGACCTCACCTCCCCAAAGACCTCCTCTAACTGCAGCATAGAAAAAACACATACCACCATTACTGGCCTCACCAGGCAGACCTCAAGGGCACAGGCTGACCCCAAGATTTGAACCTGAGAACACTGAGTGCCTACCTAGGGAGGACAGAGGAGGCCCAAGCTGTGAGACACCTCTCCAGGGATGCAGTGGCCACCCTGAGAGGCAAGCCTTTGCTCTGCCAGGAAGAGAGAAAGTCTGGATATCCAAGTCTCCCTGAGCAGAGCAGGATGTCATCTCATGGGTGTGAGTGGGGTAGGCATGCAAGGAAGTGTGACATTGACACACTGACAGGGGATAATGGCACCAAATATCAGTCCTTGACATTTGGGGGGGACAGTGGGTGCCTGAGCTAAAAGGTACCTTTGTTTCCCATTGATCCCACTCAAAATGATTGGAAATAAATTTGAAATGTAACCAAGCATTCAGAGTCAAACCGCACTACTGTAAGTATCTGGTAAATAGTGCTTGCTTTTCTCCTATGATTTTGTTTTCTCTGACAGGGTCTGTGTGCATGAGGCAGGGACTATTTAGCTCTGGCAAGGAGGCAGGGACAAGTGACCGGCATCCTTTAACCCACACAGGCACCAGTTGCATGAAACAAATGTAAAGATAAAATGTTCCTCTGGAAACACCTTGTCCCAGGCATCAAGGCACCAGCTGAAATGTTGATTTTCCGATTCATAGTATCAGGGGAAAAAAATGGACCTGTTAAACAGTTATGAGTAAACCCTATCTTCCCATGGTCACAGTGACAATGGCCCCCAAGGCTTAAAACATGGACTGCAGAGCCCCAGTCCCTAGGCTTGGGTACTGGCTCCACTTTCTTGGTCTTTAGACCTTGGGCAACTTGCTTGATCTCTCCGGGCTCAATGTTCTCATCTTTCAAGAGGAAATGATGCCAAGAATGGTACTTCTGTGGTATCTAACAGCATGGAGGCAGGAATGAACGTGGTGGTACTCGGCACTCTCTGTATCCCGTGTCACTAACACACTGAATAGTGTGCACATATTGGTTGATGAAACTTCCTCATTGCATCACTTCTAAGAGCCTCCTGAGGTGTAACTGTAATTTAAAATGAGTAACAGAAAAAAATAAACAATAAATAAAGTGAGTAACAGAGAAAATTAACTCATTAGCCATCCCCTTCCAGATGAATCTTTGGAAGATTCTCAGCAGCTTAACCATCAGAGATCAGCAGCTCTGAGATTAAAGACTGTGCCCTAGTGTGCCAGGTCTGCTCAGAGACTCTCTGCTTATTGAGGCTGCACCATATCCACCTAAGAGTCAGCAAAAGACAGCCCATTGCTTCCCCTAGGAGGTTAATTGGGATCCAAACACAGGTGGGAATGACCACCAGCCAAAGGAGCTAGAAGTCAGAGACTGATAGGGAAAGAAACAGAGAGAGCTCATAGGAGCTGATAATGGCAGGAGCCTGGTCAGATGCAAGGCCCTTCTCGGTCTGATCCCAGATCACTGCCCCTCATTTTCTCACCCATACAATAAAAAGCTGCAGTAGTCAGCCCTTATCTGAGGGTGATGTACTCCAAGAGCCCTAGTGGATGCCTGAAACCAAAGATAGTACCCAACTCTGTATATACTGGGGTCAGAGGGGGCGTTGTTTTGGTTTATATACCTACCTATGGTAAAGTTTAATTTATGTATTAGACACAGTAAAAGATTAATAACAATAACTAACAGTACAATTATAACTATAAACTGTAATAAAAGTTACTTTAAAATTATGAATTGTTCATTTCTGGAATTTTCCACTTAATATTCTCAGACCACAGTTAACTATGCCAAGAAATTTGGATCAGTCAGATGATCAATTGGGACCCTTGATGGATCAGATCAGTCTCTGTCATGAGGGTTGGGCAGTGATCAAAATAAACAGAACACAAGATGGACATGCACTGCGGAATTTTATAAAGGGGTTTCCAAAAGCTGATCAAGACTTAGACTCTGACCCCAGAGCTGGAGACCACCCCTCCCCCCAATCCCACCCCACCCCAGAGCTCACCTGCTCCTGCTGCCCCATTGTTTAGTCTGATTTCACGTGACTCAGCCCATCCTGCTTGCTGAGAAATGGGTCTCATCTGTCCTCCAGAAGAAAGGGCAGAGGGTCAGGGCTCTTGGCCAAGCATTATGTAAATACTAGAGAACTGCTTTTTCATTTTTTAATGGAAGGAACTTCTGATGGTTTTATCTTGTTTATGCTGCTCAATTGTTTTCTTTTCTTTGGCTGAACATTTTTATCATCATAGCAACGGGATGACTTGGAGCCAGCAGGATTTTAACTGGCCCAGTGTCAGAAACAGAACTACAGGCATTTTAATGCTTGCAGTTTAACACATCAACACAGCGTTATGGAAAGAGAGCCATTCCAGGATGAGAATCAGACAAAAATCTCACCTCAGGCGCTAGCTAGCTCTGTGACCTAGGAAAAGTTATTTAACTTTGCCACACTCTTCTCTTCTCATTGACAACATGAAGATCAAAATATTTGAATTTTAGGACACAAGAATATTTATTTAAATATATCCTAAGGATATAAGTTTGCCTTTAACTCTGAAGGAACTGAGCTTTTGTCCTGCTTTCAAGTGAGCAAGTTGGCCTGTAATGTTTCATGGCTACTGACAGAAGAGGTGAAACTAAAGTATGTGACCCCTGATGTAAGTGCATCAAATCTCCCTGCTCCTAAGTCTTAGGGGATGACATGAATGGTCCCAGAGGATGTTTGCCCTGATGATGAGTTAAGTTCCAGAGGAGAACCATGAACTAAAGATACCAGAAAGCCTTGTAATGGGGACTCAATATGCCTGCCCTTTGCTCTGGAGGGATACACTTCCTCTGCCTACAAAGACTGTCTTATATGCAAATATGCAAATATTTCACATGAAAGATAGTTCAGAACAATAGGCCTTTCCCACCTCAATTACCAGATGTAAAAGAAGGGAGAGACCCATGAAAAATCACCTCCTCAGATGAGCTACGTGTAGCATGAGAGCTAATAATATTACTTGAACAAATGAGAGTATACATTAAGTCCCAGCAATGTACTGAGTAACTGCTCATTGCCCTGTAAAATATCCCAACCTTCTCATCAGAAAATCAAAAACATTTGCATTTTAGGCCACATAAGGGGATTTTTAAAGTAGAAAACTTTTTCCATCCTTTTGTTAGCATATAGCTGAAAGTTTGGTTGTTTTGGTTGGCTTCCTATCACAGGAGCTGATGGGAGCCTGCAGCTGGGGGAAAGTCTCAGCTCCTGGTGGTTTCCTAAGTCGAGAGCCTGGCAGTAAGGCTGGGTGGACTCTGCCAGCCTCTGTTCCCAAGGCCTGCCTGTGATCAAGAGGTCTCTCTTGCCAAGATTACAGATGTCAAAACAGGGTTGATACTTAACATATTCAGATCTCCCACTCTTCAACTTTGAACCAAATACATTAGCCAACTTTTCTGTTTCACATAGCCGAAATTCTTTTTCTCTCCAAGTCAAAAATTACTGAGCAAGGAGTTCTGTATTCAGCCCTCGCAAGATCACAGCCCTCCAGTCCTGCTGAGACACCAAGGGTCAGGCTGCCCCTGACTCTGGGGAAGGAAAGTTTAGCTCACAGATGTTGTGCATCAGGCATTGTCTTTTCTGGTGACAGTGGAAATATTATAATCATAGTGAGCACCCAGGCAGTGAAACACCTCCATTCTTTCCTTCATGCATTCCACAAACAAACACCCCCCTGAGGTTACATCACTTGGCAGGTGCAAGGCCAGAGATCTAGGACTGAGCAGAGCCTTATCCTACCTTGGAGAACATTCCTTACAAAAGGAACTGTGCAAAAATGTCTCAACAGCCAGGGGCCCATTGAAGAAGATCTAGTGATCTAATGGCCAAAGTCCAGTGAAGGATTCCTGGAGGAGGAAATCCAAGCTAGGTTCTAAAAGAGTTATCCAGGTGAGGGGATGTCAAATGCAGAGAAAAAAGCAAGACTGAAGTTTCAAGTGGGCTTTTCTTCCTATAATGTTGCCTGGATGGATGGATGGATGGATGGACCAGAGATGGCCAAGAACCATGTCACGAGGGGCCTGGGCTCAATGTTGTGCAGCTTGAATGTTGTCTCAGGTGGTGAGAGCCCTTAGAGAGGTTTATAGGAAGGAAAGAGGTACAGATAACATCAGATGTGCAATTACCTTGGTGGCCTGTGTTGAAGATAAATTACTGTAGAATGTGTATTCTAAAAAGAAAGCCTAGAAATTATGGAGGCCAGAATAGGGGAAGACAGCTTATAAGAGACCCCTCAGATGGATGTAAAAATCCTCATTTGACACCACTGTGAATCACCTGATATGTATTGACTAATGGGGCACATGTGTACAAAACACTACAGCCCTTCAAGCTAAAGATCAAGATGAATTTGTGGGCTTTGTAGATGAAGACGTCTTCTCAGTCTCTATAACTAAGATCTTTATGGAATGGACCAAGTTGTTCAGTATCATATAGATCCACTAGCATCTCCTCTGGGACAAGGAATACCTGACTAGAATCCCAGAAGGGAAACAAAAACAGAGGATTTAGAAGGGCTACTCCTCAACCCTCCACTATATAGCATTTGAGATGCCATTCTACCTGAACCCTATGTCAGCTAAAAATTGCACAATTCAAGGTCTCCTCTTTAGGAGGAGTATTGCAAAGGCCCCTGCCCCACACATTCCTCAAGGCAGAGGGGAAGCAGTGGGCAGTGAGGTCCCACACCTCCCTTCCCTGTCCAGAGTGGCTTCCAGTAGTGGAGACTGGTGGCAGTGGAGCAGAAGCAGGTGCTGAAGCATGGCTGCATGGTGTAGAGGAGATGAACACAGCAGAGCAGATGGCTCAAACTGTACTGTTTTGCCACCTTTTTTAAATGTCAGGGTGACAGCCTAACCCATGCAGAACAGGATACAGAGAAAAGGCTATGTCAAGCGAAATACTCAGGAGTGTGTTTTAGATAAGGTCATAGAGACCTTCTCATTCAACCTTCTGATTTTCCTGAAAGATGAATAAATAGGAGCCTCCAGGGGGAGCAGGTTTCACATATCTTTCATATACCTGGTACCTGTGCAATATCAGCATCTCTACTATATTAACACTTGTGCTATACTGGACACCTGTGACATGATGGGCTGCTGTACAGTGCTAAGCACCTGTGCAATACTGAACACCTGTGCAATGCTGAGCACCTGGGCAATGCTGGCATCTGTACATACCTTCGCTTCAGTAATACCTCGCACCTGTGCGATAAGTGGGCACAGATGTGGGGCTGACAACTAAAATAAGCTTCTTGGTGTCTGGCAGTTACTTGTCACCAGCTGAAGAAGACAAGTTAGTTCCTGGAATATGACAGGGAGCAGAGTCAAGTGGCTGTCCTCTTGGAGATTTGGATTCTCATTAGTAAACAGGGAGTAATAAACCCTGCCCTCCCTTCATCACAGAATTATTAGAATAAGGCAAAGCCATGAAATGCAAAGGTGCTGAGAAGTAAAGAAAGCCCTCTACCATGAGTATTTTTCCATTTCTTTCAATACTCTCTTGAAATACATCATCAGAAAGATTTTTTTTTATTGTTTATATGGAGGCTTTTCCCCTCTGAGACATGTTTGATATACAAAAACAACTAAGCTGTAGATTTGAAACAGCTAAACTGAACTAGAATTCTTGGCAGCTAACTGCAGCTACCCCTTAGGGAGTTAGAAGGAAGTTCTCTAACTTGTTTATTCCAAACAGGATTAATCACTTGCCACTGAAAAAATTATTCTAACAGGAAAAAAATGTGTGGTTGCATTATTAATCAAAATATACAGATATAGTTATATGTGTACACATATATGTATGGCTTTATGTTTGTGTGTGAATGTCACATTTTAACAGGCAGAGACATTTAAAAGAAACCTAACTAAACACACAAAGTATCTAATGGCTCACTGTGGCTGATAAAAAGAAGTTGGGCATAACTTCTCTGAGAGAGCATTTGGCGGTGTGCCAACAATCTTGTGAATATTCCCATTCTTGGATTCAGGAATTCTACATCTAAAATTCTATCCTGAGAAAATCTCTGGAAATACAGGCCAAGATTTTCATTTAAAAAGGTTTATAATAGCTCTCTTTATAGTAGGAGAAATATAGAACTGTTTAAGTGTTCCTCATCAGGGAAATACTAAGAGAATTATAATGCAGACTTGTAATCAGATATTCTGAAGCAAGGAAATGATGTTGCAAAGAATTTTAATAAGTTAGGGAAATGCATGTGATATAAGTGAAAATGTTAAAATATTCAAGAACCAGTGTAAAATCAAGCATGCTAAAAAAATTATAGGGAAAATTAGAAAAGTCCACCTGCACATTAGCAGTGACTACTCAGGGTTCCAAGATGACTAGGAGAGGTTCTGTTTGGAGTTAAGGAAGCTGTTCGGAGATTCTGTCCCATTTGGAGGCTGAAACTGGAACTCTAGTGTATACATCTTCTCTTTGCCCTCCAAGATTAGACCCCTCTATAATTGTGATAGTTAATTACGGACTAAGACTCCCCTAGTGGATTAGTGGAGCAGTTCTGGGTGTGTCCATGGATAACAGACATGCAGGCTGCAAATTGGAGAAGGAAGACCCACCCCAGATGTGGGTGGTACTAGCCAGTAGGCATGTAGCCTGGGTGGAATAAAAAGGGAAAGAACAAGGAAGCCTGCCCTTTGGCAGAGTTCCAGTCTGCACCATTGC